TACAGTTAAAACATTCATGAATTGTCCACAAGACATGAATCAATTGGGTAGGCCACAAAATCCAGCACCATACATTCAAAGCAAAAAAAGATGTTTGTTAATTCATATTTTCCATAACAACATCATGAACACCTCCAAAAACATAGATTGGGTTAAGTCATGCGAAGTACCCCTTTTCGATTCAACAACTATCCTCAAATCACAATCAATAATCACAAAGATAAATCACATAAATCAACCACGATAACAATTCGGAATTTCAAACCTAGATGGTAAGAGAGAGAACTTGACCCGAATGGAGGGTAGACGGCGTCACGCACAGTCGGGTATCGCTGCCCAAGCAAGCCCGTCACTGCCCAAGCCCGCCCGGATCTGTCATCGTTGCTGCTTGATCTGATCATCACTATCCATGGTCAAAATTCACTGCCCAAACCTCACCTTCATGGCCCGGAGGTTGCCGGAGTTGCTGGGTGACCACGGTTGTCAATTCGCCGGAGAGTTACCGGCTCTCCGCCGCCACTGGATGCTGGCTGTTACTCTGCCCGAGCTGCTGGACTTCGCCGGAACAGAGGTCGCTGGACAGGGGGTTGCCGGCAAAAATCGTTGCTGGTCCACTGTGGTCAGTCACCGGCGTCGCTGCCGGAACTCGCCGTTGGATTGAGAGCTGTCGCGTTGCTGATTTGCCAGAGAAGAATTCGCTGGAGTTGATGCTCGGATTTGGCCAGACGTCGTCGGAGCTCGCTGGTTCGAGGTTCCCAGAATGCTCCCCGTCGTCGCCTCTGTAGATCGTCGCCGGTTGGACTCTTCCGCCTTTCCATCGTAACCCATGTCTGCGAATCGAAGAAGAAAGTGGAGCGAGGATGACGACGGCGATTTCGATCGAAGCAGGCGAAAGATCCTATATATACCCTAGGGTTTTTGTTTTGTAATTTAAAATAACGTGTCTAGGTAAAATATACTTTTCAGTTCAACTTGCTCCAAATTGAGATCCGTTCACGTTGTTGGATTCAATTCGTCGATCCTTATCCCAAGTGTATAACTTTCATAATCAATCAATAAGCATTTATAAGTTTCACTTGGTTCATCTTAATTGTTTTGCTTAACTAACATTGTTCAGTTATTTACTTTAATTCTTTATATTTAAATCAGATCAGTCACCAAATATTGAAACGATTAGAATCTATAAAGTGTCTTTTATTTCTTTAAAAAAAAACAGAGTATCGTGAATAAATAATTTGTATTTATTTACTTATCGATTAACTTCTAGACTGATTTTTAGGGCGTTATAAATGAAAATGACAAGTTTGAGATATAAGTTTCACTTATACCACTTTAAACTTGTAATTTCTCCAACACTAAAGCATCACACATTAAAATTTTTACATGCATCGGATCGTACCTAATTAGATCAAATCAGACAAAAACAGATCTACTCGGATCAAATCAAATTCAAAACCAATGAGATCAGATTAAATATTCCAAGAAAATCTAAACTTTTATATAGGTTGTGTCCTATTTTCCTGATATAATCTTTAAATGCATCAGATCGAATCTAATTAATGAGATCAAATCATAAAAAAATCGATCTAATCGGATCAAATCAAATTCAAATCCAATAAGATCAAATCAAATCTTTAAAAAGATATATTTACTTGTGTACGTTGTGTCCTATTTTCCTGATGTAAACTGATCAAATGAAATTCTAATATAATAAGATCAGATCAAACTTTCACACGAAACCTGTTTACATGTATTGGTTGTGTCATAATTGCATGATATAATTTTTAAATGCATCATATTGAATCTAATCAGACCAAATCATACCAAAATTGATCTAATAGGATCAAATCAAATTTTTGTCCAATAAAACCAGATCAAATCTTTAAAAAGATATATTTACTTGTTTATGTTGTGTCCTATTTACCTAATCTAATCTTTAAATGCATCAGATCGGACCTAATTCGATCAAATTAGACCAAAACAGATCTAATGGAACAACCATGACCGGATGACTTAGGATTAGGTGAGTCATTCAAACAAATACAGATGACATGTAGTGGTGAGTCAATTAAAACACATACTAGTGATATATATCTTTGAATATATCAGAAACCAAAATATACCTGAATCGAAATATTCTAAAACTGAATTACATCTGAATCAAAGTATTTATGAAAATGAAATATATCTAACCGAAATCTATCTGAACCCGAAATCCATCTAAACTGATTAATATCTGAACCGTATCTGAACCGACTCAGAACTAAACTGAAACTAAACTCATTTCATTCGAATCGAACCAATCATCTAGTTACTTGCACATATCCAATTCTTCTAAATACTCTACAAAATAAGAGGTGATAATAGTATTTTATTTTATCAAATGATCAACAACCTTACATATAACAACAACAACAACCAAGTTGAATCCCACATAACAACCTTACATATAATTTCACTCAAATCAGATCAAATCAGACTAGATCTTAACATATTAGATCAGACAAAATTAGATCAAATAAGATATCATCAAATTATATTAAATTGTTGTTGGAAGAAACTGAAAGGACATAGAAAAAATGGGAAGTTTTCCCTCTTCCCAATTTCATTCTCTCTCTTCCCAATTTCATTCTCCCTCTTCCCAATTTTCACCAAATTCATTTTCCCTCTTCCCAATTTTTCCAAATTTCATTTTCCCTCTTCTCAATTTTCACCAAATTCATTTTCCCTCCTCCCAATTTCGTTCTCCTTCTTCCCAATTTCATTCTCCCCCTTCCTAATTTCGTTTTTCCTTTCAAAAAACATCGCCCAACCTTATCCGACCTTAATCGCCATCGCGCCTGTGTTGTTCGAGAGCGAAGCATTCGCCGAGAGCCTTCGCCGTCAGTCCCAGCCATCGCCAATTCGCCGAGAGCCTTCTCCGTCAGTCCCACTACCCAGCGCCGACTGCCTAGTCGCCAATTCATAGCCTTCGCCGTCAGTCCCACACCATGGAAGGTACTGTTCATTCGAAGTTTTATCTCTCCGATTCTATTGAATCCGGACACTTTTGATGGATAATCTTGCGATATGTTGAGCGGTTTGCGATACCCCTCCTTCTTTTAAAGCTTGATTTCAATTTCATTTGAATTCCCTCATGATTTGAGGATTTTTGGGATTCGTATGTACTGGATTTGGACTGCGATTCTGTCAATTTTTGCTTGCTTTTTTTATTAACTTTGTTGTTGCGTTGGGTTTGAGAGGTTGTTTAAGGTGTTTTCACAACATTTATTTGAGGGATTGAAATTTGTGGAATGGCCTACTATTCTTGACGATTATGAATTGTGTTCTTGCCTTCGTACTGGTGTTCTTGCTCTATGAACTCAGTTACTGCCTGAGTGAGGCCATGCTATTATTTTTGCCTCATTTTTGTATAATCTATGTGGGTGCCGTATGGACAGTGGCATGATTCCTATTGTCATTGCTGGTTGGGTTCCTTCTGTGTATCTTATGCTTGGATGTATTTCTAGTGTGGTTTTGGGCTGTGCCTTGATGTTGGAACTGCTACCTGGGTATAATGGCCTTTGAATTTTACAGCATTGTTTGTGAAAGGATTTGTATTGGGTTAAAGGAGTTCACTTCAAGTACTTAATGCCTCAGTTGCTACAGGAATGCAAAGATACACTTGGCCTCAACCTAGCCGCAATGGATCATCTCAAGGTAAGAAGCAATACGCATTTTTGTCTCGAGCAGAATTTAGGACTTTGTATTGTTTATGCCTTAGGTTTATTTATACTAGCCATGGATCTTTATAACTATAAGTTGCAGCTGTGTTGGTCCTCACTTGCTGCACGAACATGGGTGCTTAAACTAGAGAATCTTGATGAATTTGAGGTTCTTTTGGTTTTCAGTGTTTTCATTTTGGTCACCTGTACCTTGGGAAGTATGGGGCTGGAAATGCTGCTGCCATGGACTGTTGAAGATGAGTTTGGAATCACCTTCTCTTTCCCCCTGTTTTTGGGGCGATGGAGTGGATTAAACTGTGGTTTTGGGCTGTGCATTGCTGCTGGAACTGCTGCCTCGCTTGGTAAACGTTCCACTCCTCCCTCAACCTCCTGGACACTCACTTTTGTCATGCCTTACTTCATTTGCATGAGGGTTTTTTCTGCTCTAAATTGGTGGCTGATAATATGATTTTTATTTGATTTATGGAGTTATCTAAGTATATCAAATCCAAGTATCTAAAGCTACTTTTTTGATGTTTTGTTACGAGTTGTTGAGGTTATCTAAGTATAACAAATCCAAGCATTCTAAAAGTTACTTATGGGGAATGTGATATTTCTTAAGGAACAACTAAAATACAAAAAAAGCATGCCACGTTGAGTACTTTTATTCATTTTCTTGTTGATGAGTCATTACATATTGAGCTTTGCTATGCTTTCTGGGGTTCTATTAGGGTTGAATTTGATTTTGGCGTAGTGTGGTTTCAGAGTTGGGCTAGGTGGTCCATAGAGAACTAGATTTATGGTTGGATTTTTGCTTAGATTAGCTCTCTTAGCTTCTCAAATCAGCTGATTTTTGGCAGTATAGACCAGAGTGCTAGTTTTTTTGTTTGAACTCTAGGTATGTGGCTTTGGGAATTGATATTCTACAATGGTTTTACATGCATATGATTTTGAGCTGCAAGATTAGCTTCATATTTTGTTGGCAGGTGGTGTTTTGCCCGAGAAATCATATAATGATCATAGTTGACAGTTGGGGCTGCTGAGCATCTTTTATCCTACAACTTTATTGTGTTGGGGAGATGCTGTGCTGGAGAGAAATTGGATGTGTTGGGGAGTTATTTTTGCTGAAGTGCAGATAGAAGCTTATTTTGAACTTTACCAGTTATGTCTGCCTTGCAGATTTAGGAGTTTAATTCTTTGAGTTTTATGAAGCTTTATTCAGGTGCGCGAATTGTAGATTGATTATGCACTAATTTGGAACACTTTAAATCTGAAATCCCTTGAAGGCATAGCTAAGTTTTAGTTTTTTAAAGCTTGTAATGTAGCTCGTGATCTGATACTTTAAATATTTTGTGATTTTATGCCTTTGAGTTTTTAATTTGTTTTGTACTATAGCTTTGGGCATTACACAACATGTCTTTGTATCTTTCTTTTCCTCTTTTAATATAATTTTTTATTTCAAAAAAGTACTTCGTAATATGAAAAAGAATTTGTAGCAATTAAAGTTTGCTACTAAAAATGAGCTTTTGTAGCAAAGTATAATTTGTGGCAATATAAAGTTTTTACTGATTATTTGCTTTTGTAGAAAAGTATTATTTGTGGCAATTCAAATTTGTTACTAAAAATGAGCTTTTGTGGCAAATTATTATTTGTGGCAAATCATATTTTGCCACAAATACATTTTGTAAAGGGGTATTTGTGGCAACCTTGTGGCAAATTTGAGAATTGTTACAAAAGTGTATTGTGGCTAATTTTTTATATTTTGTGGCAAAATTTGATGCCATAAAAAGTAATTTTTTTTGTAGTGACATACTACTAGTAATACATTATGGTTTCTCAAAACTTAGAAAGTAGTTCTAGGATTAATAGTCTAACTACTGTTTAAAAAGGGTATTCTTAATTTATTATAGACAACTTATAATAGATGATGGTTTCTATGAATTTTAAAAATAGTACTACGCTATATAAATATACTATTGTTACAAGGGAGTCTTCTATTCTTATAATAAACAACTATGGAAAATAAAACGATATGAAACATACAACTAACAATAGAATACTATTTCTTATAACTTTAAAAACAGTTATAAACTGAAAAACTAGACTACCATTTAAAAGTAGTAGTCTTAACTAATTATTGACAACGGTGGCAACAAAAACTGTATTTTTAGGTGAAACGGACTACTAATAAAAGATTACCGTTCTTCACAACTTTAAAAATAATTCTATCTTTAATTCATAGACTATTGTTACAAAAGAGTCTTCTATTCGCATTAGAAACAACGGTGGCAAAAAAACCATATGAAACAAACAACTAGCAATAGATAACTGTTTCTTATAAGTTTAAAAACAGTTCTAGACTAAAACACCAGAATACTGTTTAAATAGAGTATTCTTAACTTGTTTTTGACAACTGTTGTAACAAAAGCTGTATTTTGAACTAACACAGATAACTAGTGATAGATTACAATTTCTCGAAACTTTAAAAACAGTTTTAAAGCATAGTACCTAGACTACTGTTCTGTAGCCAAGAAAAATTCACAGTAGTCTGGTTTTTTTAACTACTGTATTTCCATAAACAGTAGTTAATCAACAATCGTCTGATACTGTTTTTGGCGTAGTGATTGGTTATTAAGGATAACCGATTCAAAAGGGGTCGTTATATCCAACCTCTCTTATCCATACGCGATTTTAAAAAAACGTCTGAACCCTTCGCCGTGCCATCGCCGACGCTAGCCTTTGACGGGGCCACCACGCTTTCTTCCACCCTTCGCAGACGCCAGCCTTTGCCGACGCCACCACGCCAACTTCCACCCTTTGCTGGTGGCATCCCTCGTCAATGTCATCTCTTCGCTGTGTCGTGTCCTGCCGCCAACCATTCGTTGCCAACACTTGGTTGTGGCCAAAACGGGTGTTTCCGGTGGTGTTGAAGTCGACTGAACCTCGCCGCTGCTTGTACCCCTTTAATCCGCTCCATATCGCGCCTCCATCCCTTTGCCGTCACTCTGCCGCCATCCCTTCGCCGCCACCTCTTTTGCCGTCATCCCTCCGCCGTCACACTTCAAGGTATTTTTTTGATATTTTTCTTTAAATTCATAATTATACCATTATTTATTTATATATTTTTGTATTCGGTGAATATATTTTTATTTTTAGTGGTAAATATAATTTTAAATTTTTTTTAATGTATTTTCTTTATTTACTATATATTTGAATTGCTTTTGTGTTTATGTTTATGTGACATTGTGATATAGATTGCGTTTGAAATATAGATTGTTTAATTACTTTTTGTTTGATGCTACATGATCTGAGATGTTATAATATAGAAAAAACATATATTGACCGACCTAGAAACCCGTTTAACCTTTACTCATTAGGAGTAAATTTTAAATAGCTCCCAGTTTAGAGCTGTTCTTTGTTGGAACACGGGTTTACGCCTACGTCGTAGTAAACCGTGTTCGTTTTATGACAGGTTTTGATAATGCCAAACCGCCATGATAACAAAATTAAACTAAGCAAATCAAAGGAAAAGGAACATGGCGTGTTGAATTGAAAATTGAGAACCAAGAACCAAGACCGAAGACTTAGAAATAAATTAAGTCGGTCTTAATGTGATCAAGACCGGCACAAACTTCTAAACTTGGCTCTCTAGGCTCATATCATTAAAATATTATTTTGCATATTCAAAAATGTTTTTCATAAGTTCTAAACAAGCCTAAAACACTTGGTGTTCGCGCAAACCAAAAACCAAGCCATCCGGCGTTCGGCATTCGGTTATCAGCATTGGTTTTTGGCGTCCGAACCAACTAAGTGGTTTTCAACATTTTATGATTGGTTTTTACTTCTAGGTATATTTAAATAGTTCTCCAACAAAAACGCTTCAAAAACCACCTCTCGTTTTTGGTCGTTTAGTAAAAACCATGTGAAACGGCATAAACTTGGCTAGCCGTGGTTTTTATCTAAATGACGTGGTTTTCAAGATGTTTCACTTTATTTCTTAGAAAAATGCATTAAACAAATGTTTTCAATACTTGGTTTTTATTTTGGAGAACTTAGTTTTTTGACATCGGCTAACGACATGACTTAACCAACCATGGGTCTGGCTAAACTAGCCCAACAGCGATGTTGGAGTTACCAACTGCACTGTCTAGCATGGGAAGCTGAAAACCATGGTTTGGCATTAAGTCTTCCAACAGCAATGTTGGTATATGGACATCGCTGTTGCGCCAAGGTTGGGTTTCCAGAAACATCTGGAATAGGGATGTAGACTTCCCTACATCGATGTCCAACCTAAGCCAAAAGAAATGCCCTTTGGCAGAAATGTTTTGACAGTGTTGTTGAGCAAGCAACAGCGATGTCAGGCTATTCCTTCACCCTTCTAAGTCAGGCCTGAACAGCGATGTTCAAGTAATGAACATCGATGTAGGCACCTGACCGTTGGAAGGAATTTATGGCTAAAACTTTCCATGTTTGGAAGTCAACAGCCAAAACAGCGATGTAGGTCTTTTGGACATCGCTGTTGGCTTGACCGTTGCTTCCCAATTTTCAAAAACTAAGCCTAGAACAGCGATGTTCAAGCCATGGACAGTGCTGTTTGGTTGATTTTCAGCAGATCTAATTTTAATCAAATCCCACAAATTGTGCCAATCACCCCCATTCAACTCCTACCCATTGGAACCTATTTTTCTACTATAAAATGAGGTGTTTGGGTCTGCTTTACACATCACATTACTTCACAACTCTTATCTTTCATTGCATTACATTCATACATTATTCATAGCTTTTCGAGAGCCATTTTTGTGAAGTTCGTGTCGTGTTCTTGAGCGTTCTTAGTTACTCATTATCCACTCTAAAAGAGAGTATTGTTCTTGAGTGATTTAGTGTTTTTAGACACTTGATATACATGTTGGATATGGCACGGAGAGCTAAATCCAGATGATGAACCCCCTCACCCACATAATAAACGTGTTCATGACTCATGTGACGATGGAACAGATGAAAACAGTGAAGAAGATGGTGAGGACAGGTCTTTTGAATACTCTGATTTCATGAACCATGTCCAAGGGGATTCTGAACCCCTTTACCCGGGATGCAAGACCTACACTAAGCTGAAGGCACTAGTGAAATTATATAACTTGAAGGCAAAGCATGGGATTTCTGATTCATGCTTCTCTGAAATTCTGCTTTTGCTAGGGACATTTCTCCGAAAGGGCAACTGCCTGCCTTCGTCATTTGGTGAAGCAAAGAAGACCTTATGTGCTTTATGTATGGATTATCAAAAAAATAAATGCATGCCCGAATGATTGTCTTCTGTATAATGGCGAGAGAGATGAAGATAGTACAACATGTCGCATATGTGGGATCTCTAGATCGATGGAAGTTGAATAGAAAGGGCAAAGAATTGGAAGGGGTACCCGCTAAGGTTTTGTGGTATTTTCCTTTACTTCCAAGGTTGATGAATTTCTTTAATACACCACATATTGCAAAGGATATGACTTGGCATGACAGCGAACGAAAAAAGGATGGCAAGATTAGACACCCCGCAGACTCGAAAACATGGAAGGATGTTGATCGCCAGTGGCCTGAATTTGCTTCTGACACTAGGAACCTTCGGTTAGCTTTATCAACTAATTGATTCAATCCATTTCGTGGAGTTTCTACAACGTACTCATGCTGGCCAGTTTTAATATCGATTTACAACTTACCACCTTGGTTGTGTATGAAGAGAAAGTATATAACCTTAAGCATGTTGATATCATGACCAAATCAGCCCGGAAACAACATTGATGTCTATCTTCAGATGGTAGTTAAAGACCTTCTAAGGTTGTGGATTGGTGTTCAAGTCTATGATGCGTACAGAAAAGAGTTCTTCACATTGCGGGCAGTTTTGTTGTGGACAATTAGTGATTATCCTGCAGTGGGTAATTTGTCAGGCAATGTTGTGAAAGGCTATAATTCATGTGTTGTTTGTGGTGATAAAACAAATGCTATGAGGTTGCGTAATTACCGTAAGATGGTGGTTATGAAGCATCGCAGGTGGTTGCCACGACAACATCCATATCGAAGGCAGAAAGCAGCCTTTGATAACACAGTGGAAAAGAATGCAGCTCCTATCCCATTGACTGGGGAAGAGGTATATTTACATGTGCAATAGTTAAGTGACCATGTCTACGGGAAGACACAACCACATTCTCGTCTAAAAAAAGGAGACATCCGACCTACTTGGAAGAAGATGTCTATTTTTTTTAAACTGGAATATTGGAAATTTCTGCCAGTAAGGCATGTTCTCGACGTAATGCATATTGAGAAAAATATATGTGAGACATTAATTGGTACGATGCTTAATATACCAGGGAAGACAAAAGATAGGGAATCTGTGCGTATCGATATGGCTGAAATGGGTATTAGAACGGAGTTGATGCCCAAAAATCCCGGAAAAAATGAGAAGTTACCAATGGCATCTTGTAACTTATTGCACAAAGAAAAAAAGATACTTTCCTCATCTTTTCTTGGCATGAAGTTACCTGAAGGTTTTTGCTCTAACGTCAAGAGTCTAGTATCGATGGAAAATCTTCGAGTTGTCGGGATGAAGTCTCATTATTGTCGTACAATGTTGCATCACTTGCTCCCCATTGCAATATGATCGGTGTTACAAAAAGATGTGCGGTCCACTATTATTAGGTTTTGCCTCTTCTTCAAGGTAATTTGTAGTAAAGTCATTAAGGTCGATAAATTGGAAAATATGCAATCCCACTTGGTAGAGACTTTATGTTTGCTTGAAAAACATTTCCCTCCTTAATTTCTTTGATATAATGGTCCATCTCTCAATTCATCTTGTGAGAGAAGTCGAGCTTTGTGGGCCAGTTTGGCTATGTTGGATGTATCCTTTCGAACGAGAAATGAAGACATTCAAGGGATATGTACGCAATCATGCTTATCTTGAAGGTTCAATTGCCGAAGCGTATATTGCAGAGGAGGCAATTGAGTGTTTAGTGAGTTCTGAAGATTGTACAGTAGGATTGCCAAAAAGTTTCCAGGGTGCACAATCTAGACCCCTGTCTGGTGCGACGATGATCACACCGACCAATAATGACTTGCACCTAGCACATTTGTGTTTCCTCGAAAACTGTGATGATGTCCAACCATACTTTATGCAAGTATTTTTTTTAAAATTTTTGACAGTTACTTCGCTTTCATTCTTCTTTATAATATTATTAAAGAATAAAATTGTTTCAGTGAACATATGGGTGCTTTGGTGAAAACGTATCCACATCGTTCTAATGATGAGGAGTGGCTCAAAAACAAGCAAAACGAAACTTTCCCGGGCTGGTTTCGTAGAAAAGTAAGTACAATCTGTCATCATATAGTATTTGTGAAAATTCTTGAATAAAATAGCAGTATTTGAAGTTATTGTACTTGTGGTACTTCGTTTGGACAGATTTCAACAAACTTGCTTGTGGAGAATAATACGGTATCAACAGAACTAATGTGGATTGCAGAAGGGCCTAACAAGGATGTACCCACTTTCAGTGGGTATAAAATCAATGGTGTGACCTACAGCACCAAAGAACATGATGATATGCGTCAAGTTCAGTGTAGTGGTGTTTGTGTAGAAGCTCAAACAATGCTCGTAGTTGGTAAGGAAAAAAACATCCAGCATAGTACACACACATTTTACGGTGTTATCGAAGAAATTTGGGAGTTAGACTACAACCATTTTAGGGTTCCCATCTTTCGCTGTAAATGGGTAGATATGAATAGAGGGGTTAAGGTAGATGATTTGGGATACACTATGGTTAATTTGAACAAATTAGGTTTTCAGAATGACCCATTTGTGTTGGGGAAACACGTCATGCAAGTATGTTACATTGATGATCCTCTTGAGAAACTATGGTCAGCTGTCTTAAGATTACCTGAGAAAAACTATATGGACATTGATGAAGATAGTGAGGGATCTGTTGAATTAGAACTCGAGGAGGAGTTGGATGTGAGATTGTTCCCACCCAACCACGCAATAAATGAAGATAACAGTAATTACATGCGAGAAGAAGTTGAATTGATTGTGTTGGCATAAGTTTTGTTAATCGTTAAGTGGGCCAATTTTTTTCTTTTGCTTTGCCAGAGGGTGTATTAAGGTGGATATTGGGTGCAGGTTTTTGTCATGATCTGCACTTCATGTTTCTTGGAGAGTCCTTGCCCGCCTGTACCTGTATTTCGCTGGTGCTGTGTTTTATGTCACTCTGTATTGCGTTGAAGACTTTTGATGTTTACGTTGGGCCATATTTTTTTGCTTTCTGGTGGAATCATACCGGCTGTTTTGGAATGGTAAGGGCCTTGTGTTTCAAGCAATTGATTTATACTTCCAGGTAAATTAATTTTGTGTTTTCCTACATTTTGGGGTTTATGGCTGCCCTTTGGGTTTTATTCTTTGTTTTATTATAGAAAATGTTGTACTGTCAAGGTTTTGTTTGTGGATTTTCATGATGTGCAGTTCATGTCGCTGCTAGCAGTGCTTGTCCTCCTGTATATTGATGTTGTTGTGTCTTAAGTTGTGTCCTCCTGATGGATACATTGGGCCATAGTTTTTTTGCTTTTTGGGTATAACAATAATGGTGTTCACTTGGTGGCTTTTCCCAAGGTTTGTACTGTCAAGTTTTGTTGGTGGGTTTTTCCATTTTGGTTTCTGCTCTAAGGTGTGTATGATTACTTTTAGTATGGATGATTGAAGGATGAAGTTGCTTCAAGGATATTAACAGAATGCTTGAAGGATGAAGCTTGAGGGATATCCATGTTGGTGAGTCATTTCCTAACTTCAAGGATATGTTCTATTTCTTGGATGCTTGTTGGTCATTGCCTTTATTTCAACTTACCACTATTAAAAAGAACCAACTTTTGGCCTATAACAGATCATGTTTTGGAGGCATCATCATGAAAAATTGTAGCACCAAAGCAGTTTCTTGAGAAAAAAAGTTGTTCTCTGGTTGTCGCACTCCATTCCTCAGTAAACCTTGGGGCATACATTCTATTTGCATCTCGCCATCTTCTAATTGTTTTTGGGTTTTATGATGTGAGATTGATGGATTGTATGGGTTCCCAATTCCCTTTGTGTGTAGCGGGATAGTACCCAGCCTGTCCATCTACAAATTATTTCGTTTGAATGGAAGTGTATATTTTTTCATGTCCATATAATTCTTTAAAACAACGGTTTTTTGATTGTTTGGGCAGTAGTTTTTGAGTGACTGAGTTGAACTCTTGGGGGGGGGGGGGGT